AATATTAATCAAGAACAAAACTCAGAAACAAAAGCTGCCTTTCCTTATGCTTCTAAAGCTGGCAGCATGGCTGTGATGAGGGTCTGTGTTAACAAGGAAGATCCTGGGATTAAATATTTTAAGGACTGAAAATGGGAAGATGAGGAGACTAACCAATTTCCCCCTCCAACTCTTCTATTTCCTGGCCTAAGCAATACTGTCCTTGTTACAGACAAATATACACTGACTCTGAGGAACAAGGCCTTTCTATAAAGCCAAAATTAAGTCATCCTGTTGCGAGACACACATCAAAAATGTTTCTGTTAAGCTATCCCTTTCATTTCAGCTAATGTCTCCCTTCCCTTATTAGGACCTCTGAACTCCATACAATTTACTGCCATAATGCAGCCTAATTCAGCTAATTCACTTGCTGAGGCATTTCTTTGTATTCGACTTCTCCCCTTTGGAATATACACAGTCACAGGAAACATTTTAACATCAGCTTCTCCAGCCCCAAGCTAATTTATCATAACCCTAAATAACATAATGCATGTGAAAGTACCTTATAATAAACAGTATAGTGCTAGATAAATGTTAAGGTATTATTAACCATACTTACTATCATTAGTCATTGCTGCAACCAAGTCAGAAAACTGTCTCCAACCATCTGTTGTAATTTTTTTTAAATACTCGTACCTTTTTTAAAATCCATACATTACTGCATCCCAAGAGGAGCCATAGGTAGGGTCTGGAATATTGGACTCGTCAGGCTAGTTCCCCCAGTAAACCAGAAGTTACTATTTAAATGATACAGAGCAGTGTGACTTAGGAGTTAAGTGTAAGGGAGTCTAATACTGGGTGGGCTCAAGAATCCCTCAGCATGACTCTGTTCAGAGTTTGAGCTAAGCACAGAACAATGGAAAATGCACAGGTGACAGGAATCAGTCCATAGTGCCCGAAACATCCCCCACTCTGTAGGAGTGAGTCCTAAGTGCCATCATCATCTACACATGTGCCCAAGGGTGACCTGGTCAGGTTGACTTTACTGGGGAAACGGAGTAAAAGATGAACAAGGATGAAAAGATGAACAAAGCCACCTGACCTTGGCAGAGAAGAAACTAGTTTCCTTTTTCTGGCTGAGGAGGCCAAAAGCATTTCTAGAATAGCTCTCTGTTGCATCCCAGCCACTGCTTATGAAGAAAAGAATCAATCACAGAACGTAAGACAGTCAAGAGCTAGGAATTCAACTCTGCCTCGTTTTGCAGATGAGCAAACTGAGGCCCAGGAAGAATACTTTCCCCAAAGTCACACAACTAATTAATGCCAGAACTAAGTCTCCAGATTCTTCTAAAAGCCTCTAAAAACCTTTCCACTAAAAAACCATGGTGCTGCCAGGTTTGACATAATCACACCAGCAGCAGCCCCAGTAAGGCTGAATTTAGTCCTTTGTCGATCTTCTAGATAAATGATTGCCAGAGGCCTCAAGACCCCTCTGTGGAAAAGGCACCCTCTGACCCTTACCACCTGCCATCCAAAAAAAGCACTCCTGTCCCCAGAGCCTCACACAGCAGTGGATGAGATGTGTTGTTTCCTCTCATTACAAAAAGCCTATTCATAAAAAAGAAAGAGGACTGGCTCAAATTTACACTGAAAGTCTAGCTGGGAGAGCCCTGGGCTTCCTGTGAATGGCATCACTTCCCAAGAAGCCCTTCCTTTAAAAAAAAATGCTGCCCCTCCAGCCCTGCTCCATGCTGAGAGCCACCCAATCAATAACAGCCTCTATTCCAAAGCTACCCACACCTCCTTGCCACATCTGCAAAATGGGAAGGGCTTGAGGCTATTCACATTTTATGGACTGGGAAACTAAGGCCAAAAACCTGCAATCAAAGGAGTTCCTAGAACACAGAGCCAGCAAGCATTCGAGCCACAAGTAGGCAGCACCATGCTGATCAGCACCCTCCCCACAGAGACTACCCTGCCATTCCACTGACAGCTTGCAACCCCAAAGAAGATGGGTTAGATTTCCAACCCAGATGATAATTCACCTTTTGGCTGCAGGCAAGTGACCTCCCCATCCCTGGGCCCCAACCAGGCCTGTAAAATGGAGATAATAATCTTAACCTCCTGTCCCACAGAAGGCTACCACAAGTCTCCTGAGAATAACCTTCTACAAATACAAAAGCAATAAAGATGCTAATCTAATGACAGGTTTCAAAAGTGTCCCTGAGTAAAACACACCAGGTTGTCCACAACCTGAAATTTTTAAAAAGTTTTTCTTTTTCTCTTCCTCCTCCACCTCCATGATTTGATAGTTTTAGAACATCTGTCCACACAGGCCGAGTACAGAAAGACAGTCACACTCCTGGTCCTCACCCAGATTATTTTTATGTATCTAGCAACTTTCCGTTTCAATCCCATTTTTTTTTTTCTTAGCACCACTAACGGAGGTAAATAAATCAGCCCTCTGAGCACCCCTGGACAATGACCACGGAAGATCGAATAAGAGTGATAAGTTAGAGAGAGATGCATAAAAATAAATACCCTCGCACCAAGGACAGACAGCACCAGCCCAAAGTTAACCAGTGCACTTAGTAGGAGCTTGGTGCTGCTCCAACCCTCAGAATTCAAAGGCAGACCTCGCCCTAACAGCGTAAACTCCGAAATCAAAGAATAATTAAGAGAAACTCGTGAAAGTACTTCCCCAAAGTACCATGGTGGAGACGAGGAATCTTATGTGACCACCTCCAGGAAAGAATGTCACCAGGCCTCCGGGGAAATTAACCGTGGCAAAGGGCCTGGAGGCTAAACCACAGTCCCCAGATGTGATTCAGATAGGGCACCTGGATGGGGCCGGACTTCCTGCTGGTGAAAGGCTAGAGCAGGGCTGAGAGGGGAAGGGCTGCCAGCCTGAGCACCAGTCTTTCCTAGGGCTCAGGTACTGTGTTCCCCCCCTCCACTGTGAGGCAGAGGCACTGTGCAAAGGTGAAAGAAAGCCAAATCTGAGATTTGCACAGAAAGAGCTACTCATTGGAAAGTCATTTTTAAGGGTCCCGCTTCCCGCAGAGATGAGGTGCTCTACTCTGCAAAATGTCCTGAGCACACAAATAACTCTTATCACTGAGGCGGCCGAGGAAAATGTCAACAGACTCACATGCATCATGGTGACCAGGTGACAGGGGTTGAGCAGGTAGATGACGGTCTTGGTGGCGAACTTAAAGCCCACCTCCACCCCGAAGGTCAGGCACAGGGCTACTAAGAGCAGATTCTTGCTCAGGCTCTCCTTGCCTTCCTCTGGCCGCTGGGTCACCTGCTCTGGCTGGCAGCCATGGCCACCCCTACCGTCCTCCTTCGTCTGCCTCACGATGTGCCGCAGGGCCACCAGGATCTCCAACAGGGCCAGGGTCAGGACCACCACACTTTCCAGCAGCCGTTGCTGCCAAGAGAGGAAGGCAGCACAGTCGGGGCCCCCATTGCCTGCAAAGCTGGGGTCCACGCCCCCATAGAGCCAGTCCAGCAGACTTCGGTAGCTATACCGGGACATAATGCAAAGTGGGTCCCCTCAACCACCGTGCAGGAAGCAAGAGCGAGATGGAACACAAGCCCAGAGGGTTGCCCGAGTGGTGGAACATGTACAGAGGGCACCCCCGCTCCAGACACCAGGGCACCGAGGGCAGGGGTGGGGAAGCTACACGCGAAGCCCGGGGTAAAGTGCTGGCTCTAACTTGTCCCCACGGCTGTCTGGGGAGCCCCCCGCGCTTCTCCAGTGGCCACCAACGAGGCAGGGTTGAAACGAGCCGTTGGCCAATCTAAAAGGAAGGAGAGGAAAAAAAAAAAAAGGTCTCAAAGAGGCAATTGCATCGGGAATTATGAAGCGGGGAGGGGTAACTAGTGAGGGAAGAAAAGGGGAACCGGGGCAGTGGCGAAGCAAGCAGGGGGCAGGGGAAGCCAGAGGCCAGGAGGGTCAGGTTCAGGGCCAGGGGACCCAGCACTGCCGCGGTAGCGAAACGGGGCGCAATGGGGGTGATAGCGAGGGGACACGCGGAGGCCAGGAGAGGAGCTAGTGGGGCTGGGCAGGCGGGGAGGGCGACGGGAATGGCAGGGACGCCGGACTCCTCGTCTCACGCACTCGCTACAGGGGATCGCTTACTCCTGCAACCGCGAGGGCCGTCTCTGCCCCCAGCTAGGAACTTCGCCGCCGAAGGGCCCCTCCGGCCAATTTAGAGCCGTCCGGGTCCAGCCGCCCGTCCCCGGGTACATCCCCGAGCGCCCAGCTCCACCCCCGGCTCCAGGCAGCACCTCCCCCAACCCG